TATTCAGCTTGTATTTTATTTTCTGATTTTTTTTGCCAATATGTAAGACAGAGCATTTATTTGTTGAGATTTGAAGTTGCCATTTGTTTGACCATTCTGATAGTCAAGATCTTTTTGTAGGGTAGCAGTATTGTCTGTGGTATTGAACAGCTTTACATCATCAGCGAAAAGAACGCAATTGCTCTTAATATGATCACAGAGGTCATTTATGTAGAGAGTTGGTCCTAGAACACTGCCTTGGGGGACACCACTATTGACAGGTACAGAATTTGATAGGACGCTCCCAATTTTGACCATTTGTTGTCTGTTTGCCAGGAATGCTTCTATCCAGTTATTCAGTTGTCCAGAGATACCATAGGATTTTATTTTTAGGAGTAGTTTGTCGTGTACCACTGAATCAAAGGCTTTACAGAAGTCTATGTAGATTGCGTCTATTGCTTTGCCCTGGTCGAGTTGAGATCCCATGAAGAATAAAATGTTTATTTAACCAACATCTTGACCTTAACACTAATTTGATGAACAGAGGAAGCTGCTAACACCAGATCAGACACTTAATGTCTCTGGCTAAGAATCTATCTGGAAAGGCAGCAGCTCTTTTGGGTGCCAGACAGCAAGATATTTTTCTCCCCTTTTTTCTCTCAACACAGGTCCACAAGCAACTTTTATGGCAAAATCATCTGCTTTGTGCCTCTTCATCTCCTCAAAATGATGTGTGGTTCTTGGCCATCGTAAGGTCTTCCTGACAACCTCCACCCAATTAGCTGTAGAGAGAAATGCTGCATTGCCAGGGATTGCAGTTTAGTTGCTCTACATAATCAATGCAAATGAGTTAACACTGAACTATGGGGCTCCCCCATTCTAACAATGGTGTTCGACAAGTTGCCTGCTTGTTATGACTTCATTTTCTGACTTCTTTTGTCTCCCTAGATAAAATCCAGCACATTTATCAACAATGCAGCTTGATCAGAAGCTGGAATTTGCTCAGTACCTATTGGCCAATTCACACTGCTCTGGGTACACACACAAAGACATCAAGTGACATATCACTACATTTTCCCCCCTTGAGTGAGTGTGGCCCATGCGTGATGCATCCTGCCTGTGAGCCTCTAGTGTGATACCACTGGCATAGATTGTCTATGCTAACCTAGCACAAAAAAACCACTTCAATTCTAGAATACTTAAAACTATTTCAGCTTGTCTTAGCAGTGGACTATAATGGGACCGAGGTGACTTCATAATTGAGGAAACGTGATGATGTTTCACTTTGGGACATGACCTGTAAAACATTGTTACTGATCTGTCCAAGCAAGCAAAATAAGAAAAATAATCTTATTTAGCTTTTATCAAGCTGAATCAACACATAAAGAAGCACAAATGAAACACACTTCTCTTCTATTGCCATGTGGCATGATTTCATTATTCAATCTCCTATTTATTTTCAAGATATTCTATCCTCCGTACAAGGATTAAGTGTCTGATCTGGTGTTAGCAGCTTCCTCTGTTCATCAAATTATGTGAACCAAGGAAAACAATGTAGGCAGGCAGAGCAGGAGAGAAGGGACACAATAGGAAAACCTGATACTTACTCGGGCCCCACAATGAGCTGCAATTTCTTCAAAAGGAGCTTTCTGGAATTTTTCAACCACCTGCCGTCTCCTTTCCCTCTCTTGTTCTTCTACAGCTACGCTGTCGACTAACAAGAAAGCAAGGTAAATTAATGATTGGGGAGGAGTAGGATTAAAATCCCGCCCATTTAAAAACTTGAGTTCAGCTTCCTCGCTTAGGCTGAAAGCAGAATTTGTCTTAATTTTTAAAGATTCCTCCAGCTGGTTCAAACTGCTGTGCTATTATTCTGGGAAGCCTATATAGAATAGGAGAAGGATGGAAGGCGTTAATTAGATTAGAGATTTTCAAAATCCCCTCCCCCCCCCAGTCAATCTAGTTTTAGCAGAAATAGTACGCAGAGACTGCCATAAAGAGACTTACCAATTGCTTTCTTGAGGGTTTCATAAGTGATCTCTTCAGCTGGTGCTCTCTTTCGGGGATTGATGGGAAGAACACAACAGGCAATGATAGAGAAAGAGTATGTTAGAAATTAGGTATGTTAAAATCTGATAGAACTACCTCATCAAATGAATCATCTGTATATTACCCTAAGAATATAAACAAATGATAAATCCCCCTTTCCACATTCTTGTCTGCTTTCCACCCCTCTAACTAAACCTCTCTTCTAAACAATTCGGCCACTTGTCCAAAACACTCCTCTTTGCTGCATGCCAAACTTCTAGTTGGCCCAAGGCATTGGAGACGCTCAGCTATCTTATTAGGGAATCCCTGCTTCATACATTTGGTTAGGATTTGGTAAGCAGTCCATTATTTTCTTGTCTTAAATTGTACTATGGAGGTTTGTTTAATGAATGAAAAGCATTCGTTTTAAAAGATTTGTTCTCATACTTCTATGAACTGTCTTGTAGCTAAGAACAAAGAAGTATGACAGATTCAGAACAAAAACAGAGGGAGAAGCACAAAATCAATAATGTGAAAGGACATTACCCTCATTTTTACATGCCAGAATAAAAAACATTTGGCATTTCATAATTACCCAGAGTGGGCTTCTGACCAGTTTGAAGGAAGGAAAAAAAAAATCACTGAGCGTTATCTTGAATCAAAAGTTCTTATCTTCGACCTACCATAAAATCAAAAGCAATATGGCAGCATCTTTCTGCATCTGATGAAATGAGTTGCAACTCATAAACACTTATGCCTTTTATTAAAATCTGTGAGTCAGAAAAGGTGCTGCCAGACTCCTGATGTATTGCTACTATAAATACGGATTTTCACTTAGATTAACTTTCCATCAAATCACAGAACCGAAAAAGCCATTTAGACCATTCAGCCCAATTTGTTGTCTGTGCAAGAATCCTAATTAAAGCATCCACAGCAGGGTATTCAGTTTCTATATGAACACATTCAACAACTGGTGCTCTTTGGAGAACTGATTCCATTGATGAATTCCTTCTACTACCAGGATTTTTCTCTCATATTCAACTGGAATCTATCTTTCTCTAAATTAAAATGTTTATTCCATATTCTGCATTCTGGGATAATAGAGAATGATCTTGGCCTTTAGCGTGATATCCATAGTTGAACAATGTTAGTGCATCTACCCACTGTCATTTTTCTCAAGGATAGATATAACCATTTTCCTCAGCACCTCATTGAAAGCATTTCCAGGACTCTGATTCTTCTGGATTGATCACCCACAAAGATAATCAGGGCACTGGAGACTACAACATATGAAGAACAGTTGCAGGAATCGGGTATGTCTAGTTTAATGAAAAGAAGGACTAGGGGTGATATAATAGTAGTGGTTGAAGGGGCTGCCACAAAGAAGAGGGGGGTCAACCTAGTTTCCAAAGACAGAACAAGAAGCAATGGATGGATCTTAATCAAGGAGAGAACCAACCTACAACTAAGGAGAAAATTCCTGACAATTAGAACAATCTATCAGTGGAACAACTTGCCTCCAGAAGTTGTGGATGTTCCAATACTGGAGATTTTAAAGAAGAGACTGGACACCATTTGCCTGAAATTATAGTGTTTCCTGCTTGAGCTGGGCGTTAGACTAGAAGACCTTCAAGACCCATTCCACCGCTATTATTCTGTTATTCCTTACTACTTCCTCTGTACTAGTTGTTTCTGAATATTTCTTAAAACATGTCATTCAGAAAGGGGAAGGGTACTCAACATTGGGTTGAAATAATGAAGAATACAGTGGAACTTTCTTCCTATGATTTAAAAAGGACACTGTAGTTAATGAAGTGTAATTCAACATCACACCACACTGCTGTTTCAAAAGCCTTTTCAACAGGCATATCACAGTGCTGATTCAAATTCAACTTGTGGTCAACTGTAATATCCAGATCCCTTTACCATATAATATTACTATACTAGATTTATGTAAAATCCAATAGTTTCATCGGGATGACAAAACAAGTGTTGTGATGTTACAAGATAAGATCTGCCTTTATGAATGTGCAGTAATATGGCATACATACACAAAAGGCATGGAGGGCGTCATGATACATGGCAATGCTCATTTTGACATTTGTGCAACCTCTTAGAATGTCCACCTGAATCCACCTGTGCATTTGAGTTTGAGTGCATTCTTTCCTTAAGGAAGTGAAAAATTCTGTGTGTTTATCAATTAAATTTTATTCAATTCTCTTCCTTAGCCTTTTTAAATAATTTTGAATGTTGTTTCTGTCTTCTGAAATATCAGGCATTCCACCAATCTATTTTCACTAATCTACAAACTAAGCAAGTTATTAATGAAACTATTGAAGAATACCATAAGAGTAGTGGAAGCCCTGATGAACAATACAATATTTGAGCAAAGAAATGAACTCAAGATATACTGGATTATGTCCACAGTGTTCTCACACTATGAATATTACTTTACAAAAAACTATAATTGACAATGCTTATTGTTATAAGCAATGCATATTCACTGCACTTTTTTCAAGATCCTTACAGACTTAATCTCTTATAGACGATGATCTGTTTTAGAGTTTTCCCAGGTTGCTCCCCTGCCAAAGATAGGAACATAGGCCCCTCTTGTAATCATCCTATATTATCCAGAATTTCCAAAGATAATAAATAGAGATTTACCAACACCGTCTATGTTCCTTTGGTACCTGGGATGCAATTCATATTGCCTTAAAAATTTGAACTTGGAAATGTAATTCAACATAGCATAGACTAGAACACAACAGAACTAACCAATAAACAAATATATGGGATGAAGTAAACAGTTTCCCAACCAAGGTCCTACTACAAATTATCTGTTTTAAAGCACTCCATTTCTTATTGTTTGGTCAAATTAATCCAATAAACCAGTATATAATGTCGTTAGGTCCTTAAAAAACTGCTCCATGGTAGATATAAAATAAAATAGCATCTCAAAAAGTATGATGTTGGGAAGAGAAGCTCAGAATAAAGCAAAGAGAACCTCACAGCACTGGTAACAGGTTCCCAACCACCCATTTCTCATTCAATGTATGCTTGCTGAGCCTAGCCAAAAAAGGGTGCATTGAGAATGGCATACCTCTTCTTTCTCAGGGCTATTTCTGGATTCCACTTCAACTTGTAGAGAGATGGTCTCTCCAATACTCCTCCTCTTAGACAGTCTGTCTTCATCTAAAAGGAGAAAGGGAAATAAAATCATTTTCTTTCCCAGCTGGAAAGGTTATGTGTCTTGCATTTTGTAGGGAATTATAAAGTGAGAGGAATTATTTGGCCCTGGTTTCCTTTCTCAAATAGTCCTGTAACAGTGATTGATAAATAAACACATGCTGCCTTAGAGAGGCTGGATTTCCACAACATGCTAAACTCTTAATAGGAGTTAACAAAACACAATTGGTGTGTTTCTTTGAACATCTATATGCAATAGCACAAACCATATTACGACTCAACACAATAGCCCATCTCATACAAGATACTAAGATAATGAATCCCCTCAATGGGTTGAATCATTTAACCCAATTTTTGCTTAATTTGGCATGTTGCTTGAATCCAATCAAGGAGTTGCATACTGATTTCTCTTAATCCAGTTTCCTGGATCTGCTATCTTTGAGATTGGCTACAGTTGCAGCCAAAATAGTTATAGTGAAGTGCTATCACTTAAATTGTGGAACATGCATTTCCAAGACAAAGAGATCTTGCTTTAATTTCCTATCCCTTTTGCTTGTAATCTTTTAATTCAAAAATACTGTGACATTGTATTACCGAGACCATTCAGAGGACGGTTGAAAGGTGCCATGGTTTTGCATCTCTAATAAATAAGTGCTTTACTTTAGGGAATTAGTTATGATTACAAAGTTCTCAATTTTCCTTGAAGTTTTCAAGCATACCTTGCTTTCAGAATGGCTTATCTTTTGGCAAAACCACAAACCCCGGGGCTATTTACCCCCAGATCTGAACCAATGTTTACATAAGAACAAGTGTGACTGTGCAAAGCAACCATGAACATTGCTTCTAAACTAGAATGTGCTGGATGAATCCAAAGGGACAATGACTTTTCAATCCTTGCCTATTCTCAGATCTGTGCCCCTCCCAGTAAGATACATATCACACTTTAAAGCAACAACACATAGTTATTGAGGTTGATGGACAATACAACTTTGTTTCACTTTTTTTTCTGTTTGGGTGAGAGACCCACAGGGTTTAGAAAAGTATAAGAGGAAAATTGCAAACGTTCAGTAAAATGTGGGTAAGAAAGAATGGCAATGGGTACCCTGTAAATGTAAGAGTTAAAAATAAAGCAATGTTGCTGTGCAACTCAAATCCTGCACAATAAATAACAATGGATGAAGCAAAAATGAACACATCACATAATTTATCCAAAATTGCTGGTCTGCATAAGTTATTTCTGGTTTTTGCTAGTCCTGAAGTGCTCTATTATACTGTATATAGAAGGAGGACAGTTTGTTTTCCTTAACTGCAGTTTTTCAAGTAGGCCGCTAATTGAATTCTGTGCCTTCAAAAAACATTTTCTGGAATGCTTCTAAGTCTTAAGCAGGAAAAGACAACCTTTGTTTTATTGTACTAGCTAAAAAGCCTCTCGTCATCTCTGCAGATGTTGGGCAAATGCAAGGAATTTAATTCAGCTCACTAATTCCATCAAGAAGCCGTGGTTGATAGAGTGGGCTGTGTAAAATTAGATTGGGTCATCAACAAGATCTTGACTATTCAGCTTGTATTTTATTTTC